TGGTATTGAAATAATGTAACCACATATTAATATTGTTAGAACATTGTGTGCATAATCTTATTTTTTTTTTTCCTAAACTTTCAAATAATTTTGTTTTATAGATTCTTTTGGGTTAAAAAAAATTTGATTTAGATTTCGATTTATCCAATATCATGGTGTACATTTTTACTTGTGATATGCTATAGAGTTCATATAACATTCACTGTGTGCTTTGTTGTACCATTTATGAATATAATTACCATTAATTTTATACTTTTTATGAGTAGAAATTTATACCTCTGATATAAGATTGGAATCCACCAATATAAATGATCAAAAGGTTGTCAAGAGTTGCCAAGCTAAATGGATCAAAGTTCACCACGCAAAGGTGCGAAATGCCTTGGTGATAAGAACACAAATCATAGCCTTAGTGAATCCACACAAAGACAGAGATTCAAGATATTTTCTAAGCAATGGAATCCACCAAAAATACTTAGCAAAACAAAGAGAAACAAGCTAGAAGCTTAAAGTGTATAAACTCAGTTTTTATGCAATTCAAAGTTGTGTTTTTACAATGGATCGAGCTGAGCTTATATAGGATTCTTTCCCAACGTTCTAATAACCTAAACTAAGAAATAAAATCGCAAAATTAAAAGAAAAACTAGCCGTTGAAGTTTTAATGTGAAATCTGGCCAAATAAAGTAAAACTAGCCGTTGAGGTTTTAATGTGAAATCTGGCCAAATAAAATAAGTTGTCATTGATTGGGTATTGTCAAATAAATAAAGGAAACCATTGATTGTGTATCATGCTGATTGTTCGTGATGGTTTTCGTTTCATTCAAGTGGGGTCATTTTCAATAGTTGGTTCCTCTGAGTAATTGTATTGTCAGGCCCGGCCCATGCCCATGGCACGGAGTGCAAATGCATTGAACCCATGTGTTTTAAACAAATTTGGCCCGAATTTAAAGTCCTTTTTCCATAATTTTTTTTTGGATAAATTAGGGCTTTTTTCATCAGATTAAGAAAAAAAGCCTCAATTTTTTTACCTAGCACTGGCCCCACATCCAGTTGGGCTGGGCATGTGTATTGTCTCTCGATAGTAGAGTTCTTTTCCGGTGACGTTGCTACAAGGCATCTGCCGGTTCTCCGAAGCGTTTGTATAGGGTTGAAGCGTTTGTATAGGGTTGTAGAATGGGCATAGCAATAGC